CAAGCGCCTGTGCTAATTAAAAACACACAACACACTCACTCAACACACTCACCCAGCACACTAACAACACACAACACACTCACCCAAGCGCCTGTGCTAATTAAAAACACACAACACACTCACTCAACACACTAACAACACACAACACACTCACCCAGCACACTAACAACACACACCACACTAACAACACACTCACCCAACAAACTAACAACACACAACACACTCACCCAACACACTAACAACACACAACATACTCACCCAACACACTAACAACACACAACACACTCACCCAGCACACTAACAAAACATAACACACTCACCCAAGCGCCTGTCCTAACTCGGGTACTGCGTTCGTCAAGTTGCCCATCAATGCTCTCAGCTCCTGCAACTCAGCAAGGAATGAATGTGATCCAATGAGAAAGGGTTACTACTAGTCTCATGCAACTCAGCAAGGTCCAATGAGAAAGGGTTACTACTAGTCTCATACAACTCAGCAAGGTCCAATGAGAAAGGGTTACTACTAGTCTCATGCAACTCAGCAAGGAATGAATGTGATCCAATTGGAAAGGGTTACTACTAGTCTCATACAACTCAGCAAGGTCCAATGAGAAAGGGTTACTGCTAGTCTCATGCAACTCAGCAAGGAATGAATGTGATCCAATTGGAAAGGGTTACTACTAGTCTCATACAACTCAGCAAGGAATGAATATGATCCCATGGGAAAGAATTACTACTTGTACACTAAGAGAATCAGTGAGTATGTAGTAGTTTAAATACACTCAGACTATTTTTAAACTATTAATAACGAGATGCCCATGGATTTGGTAGATAGCATTCACAGCCCCAACTCCGTAGTCTGATTGTGGCTGTGGCAATCCAATGGGTCGTCGCACTTAAACGTTAACGTATAACGCAGATAATCCTTAATGAACCGGCACACGAGTGCCGTCACATACTGGAAAGAGTGATCATAAGTTTCCCTATCAATACGCACACACACAGACGAACCTACGTAGCACGTTCGAACGCGTACATCCCGCGGCAGAAAGTGCGGTACAATGTGACCTTGCACCACACACACTCACCTTATGCGTAACGTCATTGAGCACTGGTTCAGTGTTGGTTGCTATGACAACCGAGGTGCCCATCCGCAGGAGATCCAGGACAAACGGGATGATCCCTAGAATCAGATCAGCGCCACTGTTGTCTACAAACAACACAGCTCTGCGATACGCTGGGCCTATGGGATAGTGAATGGGGGACGATTTAAGTTAAGCAATATAAGGTAGTACAGAGTATAGTGTCATGATATATGATTAGGTATACAGGCTATCAACTAAGCTATGCACTATAATATAATACAATATAATACAAAGTATGGTGTCATGGTATATGATTAGGTTTACAGACTATCAACTAAGCTATGCACTATAATATAATATAATATAATACAAAGTATGGTGTCATGGTATATGATTAGGTATACAGGCTATCAACTAAGTTATGCAATATAATATAATATAATATAATATAATACAAAGTATGGTGTCATGGTATATGATTAGGTATACAGGCTATCAACTAAGCTATGCACTATAATATATAATATAATACAAAGTATGGTGTCATGGTATATGATTAGGTATACAGGCTATCAACTAAGCTATGCACTATAATACAATATAATATAATATAATATAATACAAAGTATGGTGTCATGGTAAATGATTGGGTATACGGGCTATCAAAAAACTATGCAATATAATATAATATAAGGTAGTGCAGATTGTGGTGTCATGGTATATGATTAAGTATACAGGCTTATAACAAGCTAACCATTCAATAATATACTGATATAACATATCAAATGTTTAAATTATACAAATACATCAAACGCTACTAATACACCAAGTGCACAGCCATACCATTTATTCATACATATATGCATATATATATATATATATGTATATATATATATATATATATATATATATATATATGTATATATATATATATATATATATATATATATATACATATATACTACATTAAAGGTTTCAGCTCTACAAATACATCAGATGATATTATTACACCAAGTACGCAGCCACACCTTTCATTATTCGCTCTAGCCACACATCCAGATCGTCTGTGAGCCATGGACGTGTAGACAGAATCTCCGACGCCGCAGCGAAGTCTAACTTGCCATCCTTCATCTGATCTGCAAGTGAGTGAGTGTGGTTGGGTTGAGTCTCAGAAGATGTGTAAGTGAGTGAGTGTGGATGGGATGAGTATCAGAAGTTGTGCAAGTGAGCGTGTGTGGATGGGATGAGTCTCAGAAGATGTGTAAGTGAGTGAGTGTGGATGGGATGAGTCTCAGAAGTTGTGCAAGTGAGTGATTTGTGGATGGGATGAGTCTCAGAAGATGTGTAAGTGAGTGTGTGTGGATGGGATGAGTCTCAGAAGTTGTTCAAGTGAGTGATTTGTGGATGGGATGAGTCTCAGAAGATGTGTAAGTGAGTGCGTGTGGATGGGATGAGTCTCAGAAGTTGTGTAAG